TCGTCCGCGATCCCGGTCTGGAACACGTCCGTTGTTGTTTCAGCATTGCCTGATGGTGAGATCTTCAAAAATCCATACAACGCGTTGTCTACGAGGCGTTGATAAATCTGCGGGGCATTCTTTAGGCCAAAAGGCATGCGACTCCATTCGAATAGTCCAAACGGAGTGATAAATGCTGAGATCTCGCGAGCCCGATCCGTCATGGGCACGACCCAGAAGCCGCTGGCCATATCTAGCGAGCAGTACCATAGTGCTTTATCAAGATCTTCTAGCAGATCGCTAATCACGGGCATAGGGTAGACCATCAGCCTCGTGAGGCTGTTTACCAGCTTGTAATTGATACACAACCTGATGTCCACGCCGTTACTCTTGCGAACAATCACGATCGGCGAAGCCAGTAGGCCCTTGATCAGGCCTGCGACTTTTTCGCGAAATCGCGCAAGCACTTTCCGGGTTCGCAGTGCGATCGGTTTCGCATTTCCAACATCGATATCACATACGACTCCCTTGGCCGCCAGGGGTAAGGCGTTCCCGTTGCCGATCAGAAGATGTCGCATCTTTCAGATTATCTACCGGAGCCTCTCGATCTCCTCGGGTGTGGCCCCACCTGGAGATCCTCAATGCTTACCTTCGCAGTCGTCGAGATCGGGATTTCGAGGAGGACAGCCAGGTTTCCTTTAAGATCTTCCGCTGAGAGATCGCCACTGTCATGGTAATATATCTCCTCATCGTCCTCGGCATCCTGTGGGGTGGTCGCTGTAGCTCCCTCTGCCGGCGGATCTCGTTGTCAGACGCCCTCAGTCGGGCAGATCGGGAGTTTTGCGTCGGATCCTTCGCCGGGATCGAGTTTGATCTGGGCTTGCTCGAGTTGGATCTGGGTTTGATTTTCCGTTTTCGGCTCGATGTGCCAGTCCGATTTTCCGTCTTGATATCCTTGGTGTCCGTCCAATCGGTGGCCTGGTCCGGCATGCTCTCACTTATCCCGCCGCCCTCAGCATCGCCGCTCCGGTATCGATCAGCATCGGGGCTAGTCGTTGGCGTAGATGGGCGTCCCCTTTCCGGATCTGGAGATTCTGCCTCGATCAGAGTTGCGTCGGCATTCCAGCCCTCGGTCAAGATTCTAGGGTGGATACCAATGTTCGATCTCTGTCAATCTCATCGGATCCCGGCCGGCGAAGTATCGATCGTGGCATGGGATACGATGGTCGTGGTACTGCCGGCTCCGCAGGGTCCTCTATAAGTTCCGGGGGGGTCCGATCTAACATCCACCGTCGATTCGAATGCCAGATTCTGCCACTCCCGATAGCGACGTGACCCAGCGGACACGAACCCTGGGGATCGAGGTACTTTGTCCTGATCCAGGATCATACCAACGTCCAGACGGTGGTCCAGCCGTAGGATCTCCTCTCCGATGTTCGAGATCACCAGGTAGCGGATCCGACCGGGGCCTTCCGTCATAGTCGGTACCCATCGTTCTCCTCTGGACACCCACAGTTTCTTGGCGGCCGACAATTTTATCCTCGCCGCCGTTTCTTCAGACCGGCCGACCGGGATTCGTAGAGATCGTTCGAGAATCACCGATCTTACCTTCTCGCCATACAATCTCTTACGACCATTATCGGTATTCCGACTTCGTCACGTAGCCGCATCGATCCGTCGGCGAGGTCCATCCGTACACCGGCTGGGACCATAAAATCCATGCCCAGGATCGCATTCTGTCCTGAGAGATCTCCGATCCAGATGTCGAAGAAATACGCCAGATATCCCACCAGAGTGATCTTGATCTTGGTTCTTCCTCCCGTAGTATATACGTTATCACCAATCCCCACACATTCCTGTCTCTAACTAGTGTCAAAATTGCATCCCACCTTACGACCAAAGGTGATATCCAAGATTGATACGTCAGCACCAGTATCTAGGAGGAGGGTCGCTCTCTCGTGATTGGTCCTTCCCGAGATCTTGGCTTGTCGGAACCATTTCCCCGGAGAATGACGTTTCCAATAGCCCGGGACTCTCCCCTTTTGAGATCTAAGGCAACTTCCGCATTAGACCTGCTGAATTCGCTGATCTGGGGAAGACTCGCGATCTTGGCGGTGTACGAATGCAAATTACATGTATTACCGCGTAGATCAGACTCCTTCCTACTTCGATCTGTCGTCGTCTTGGGTCCGACTTGAGTTTTCCTTGAAAGCTCTTGTGCCAGTTGGCCTTGAAAGCTCGGTGGTCTGCGAAGCTGCAATTCGCTTCACCACACCAGCGTGTCGAGTCAGATCGTACCATTGGCGGATCCGGTTGTAGAATTCCTCCATGGGGCATTCTCCTGCTTCATGGACGTCCCCGCATCCACGACACGCATACAGACAGCGATCCGTAGGGTGACCTCGCTTCCCGCACTTTTCACATATCAGACGCTTCCAGCAGTCCAGATACGTGTGTTTCCTGGACCCACAATGGGAACAGCGCTCTCGTTCTTGGTGATCTCTGTCTCCCGGGCTGCGGCGATCCGAGATCCGGGCTCCTTCTGACGCGTTCGCTCGGGATCGCGCTGGGTCTGGGTTCTGCGAGACACCTCCAGTACTGATCAACTTCTCTTCTGCAGCAGCGAGGAAGATTCATCGCAGGTCACCTTCCGAGGCGGATCCGTCAAATCCTGAAATCCCGGGAACTCGGTTCATGCGTTTGGATCGCGCGTACCGCGGCACGGGCTGGCGCTGTCGGAGCGCTGGCCGGGACCTTCTGTCAAAATTTCGACCTGAACGCAGTTCGGTGTTGTCTACTCTTAGCTCGTTCCCGCGCACGGAGAACTTCCTCCAGTTCGTCGACGTCAGCCAGTCATAATAGTGTGAGGCGATCTGCCAATTCGGGATCACCCAACGTTTCGATGTAATGATCGACGTGTTCCTGGCGTGCCTTCGGATTTCCATCCTTGATCTTGAGTTTGGCTAGCAGAGCGGCCACGTTCAGTCGATACAGCTAATCCAGTGGGGTCTCCTCGGATCTATTTCCGGCATGGTAATATTGCCACGCCACTGACATACCCAGACCACAGTATTGGGTCTGGAAACTTTCGAGTAGATCCGCCCATCTGGTCTTGGTAGTCCGACTTAACTGTCGGTGTCAGTTCTTGGTCGACCCCACCACCAGATCCCCAAACGTGAGGCATTTCTCCTCTTCTGTTGCTTGATCTCGCTGGAACGCCGATTTCACTTTGCCGATCCAAGCTCTGGCGCGATCTTCGTCCATATCCTTCCCGGTGAACTCCTTCAGATCTGAGATGGCCGAAATTCGGACTCTTTGGATCAGTGACGATGAATTCCCAGAGCCGATCGCAGCCATGGCGACGGCAGCTCGGCCGGAATTATGACCGGATGAGCTTGGAATCCCAAGATCGTCGGGATCGTACTCCCAGGAGTTTAGATCCGATGTGCCGACTGACTCCATGTCGATATCCTGCGTTCCGAGAGGTGGTGGTTGCACGTCATGAGATTTTGTTCCTTCAGGAATCGATTCATCGCCATCTGGAAGTATTCCCCCAGTTTGTTGCTAGATCCTGTCGAATCGGCCACCGGAGTGACTCGTCCGGCTGGGATCTGGCGGTTTTCCTGCTGATTGGGCTTCTCCGAAGTTCGACTTGGTCCCGCCGGCCGTTGATCCTGTCTGTTCACGCGTGATCTCATATACTTGGCGCCCGAGGGTCCTAGCGACATTCGTTGTGGGGCCCGTGGGGAATCTGAGTCTGGTTCCGAGGTAGCCGACGCGTAATGTGACGACCCGGTCTGATAGCTCAGATCGGGCATTTGTACGTGTTCGCCGACCAAGATCTTGAGCGATTCGTAGAGATCTTGAGTCGCCGCCTGGATCGCCCCCAGTTCCATCTCGAACAGGGAATCCGGATCGATTTCTCCCGCTACTAATCCAGCCTCCTGAATAAGATCCAGCAAGATCTTTACTGCATTCAGCCTATCTGTGCTGGTGTTAGGCCTGGATATTGGTCCTGTCAGATCGCCGATCTGGCGAACTTGTATAATCGCGAGGACATGGTCCTGCAACAGCGTCTCGCTCAGGATCTTGCGATAGTAAGCTTACTCGATCATGTCCTTGGCGATTGTCGATCTCGGCTTATGCACGTCTTCCGATTCCGAATCTGGTGCCTTCAACTTCGTCCGAGCGGCCTTGATCTTCTTTTTCCTGGACGATCTTGTCGAGGGTGCCGACTTGGTGGACAGATTGGACTTCGACTTAGTCGTGTCCTTGTCCGTTGTGTGCGGATCTGGATTCTCATCGAGAGCCGCGGTGACCGCCGGGGCGGTCTTGAGAGGAATTCGAGGGTTTTCTTCAAGATCTGGGATCTCGATCCAGGTCTGCCTCGTGTCTGTCAGTAGAGATCCTCTCCAAACTCCGCTGATCTGTGGATCTTGCTGTATTAAGCGATGCCTCCGTCGACCCAGCATTTGTAGGCACTCCTTCCCTGTATTCTTCTTTAACTTTGACATCTTCTTGGGACTGGTGAAATCCCGAGTCACCAGAAGATTCGGGCACGCGCACCATTGTGGCGAAGTGGGATCCGTGAAAATCTTGTGATCGCGGTTCCCGATACCACTGGCGCCCGGGCACCGACTAACGA